TTTAAATATATGTTTATTTTTATTAGAATCCTTATAATAATTTCTGTCCAGCTTTAACACACCTACAACATTTTCAATCTCTCCTGGAATGTCATATTCCTCTTCATCGTCAGCTTCAATGGCAGCAACTGTTATCATCTGAGTCTGCACAACTGAACCCTGAGCTTGCAGATTGGCAGCCAGAGACCGACAGCCACGCTGGTATCTGCACCAGAGACAAGAGAGAGTTAATTTATTTTTCTGATTTAAGTTCCAATAGGCACACATTGTCATAAAGCCTGCTCGTCAAGTTACTACACCTCCCAGTGTAGAGCTCTCCAGTTATTTAGTGGTTGCTTTAAAGGAAAAAGTATCCCATTCTCCTTCCTCCTGGCCCAGTTGTCTCTTTTCCAAGGTGAGAAGACCTAGACTATTTAAATGGTTCCTTTTCATTATCTCTTCCTTTCCTGTTTCAGTATAACCTACTTTCCACTGCTGACAATAAAGAGAGGCAAAATTCCCATGGCCTAAAAACCCCTCCAAAACCTAAAAAACAATAATAAAATCAACTTATTAAAAACTGTTTTTTAAATGTTAAAGCCAGCTCAGTACTTTCTGCCCAAGCTGTACTCAGATATTTAGCCTGTGGTGTAGATACATTCTTACAAAAGATATTTTACATGCTAAACTGACTTTTGCCACTGGGCAAGGTACACTCTCCACCTACAAAGAATTTTCTATGCCTCAGGACGTTCTCAAAAGTAGGTACAAGAAATACAATAAAAATAGTCACCAAGAGAGTCTGCAATTTTAAAATATCAGTGCGAGAAATCTAGAAAAGAGTTTGCCCTCTGGCAATAAGTAAAACCAGACACCAAAACCTGACTAATATGCAAAACGAAAGCGGGATTGCAAACCACTTTTCCCCTGTGAACCTTCTATCGAATCAGGGTAGAACTATGTAATGGAAAAAGTTATGTTCACTCTTACAAAATTGTACTAAATCAAGTTCAGGAACAAAGGTCACCATCTTCCCATCTTTACCAAGTTGTGCATTATATACGAACAAGCTTCTGCTTGTGTAATGCACAAAAAGTCAAAAGATTTGGTTTGTCACAGCTCTAGTTTACTACACCAAAACTGGAAAAAAAAAACCCTACAGGATACTAAACACAGCAGCAGAAATCTACTTTTCCAAATAGTGCAGATGAAGAAAGTGTTCATTGCCAAATAACATGGGGAACTCTTGCTTTCTCTCTTGAGGGAGGGGAGGAGGACAGGAGGCTAGTACTCAAATGCATGGATTTAGATATTTAAGTTTTTTGAGTGCTTTTAGGATTTTTTTTTAAGGGTTTCAACTTTAAACTAACCTCCATTTTGCCACCTTCGGTTTCACAAACGTCAGACCAAGTCGTTGAACAAGTTTCATCCCTAGCTTGCGAAGAACCATCTGATTACTTTCTGACAGCTTGCAGTTATCAAGACACTCAAGTACAGTAGCAGCTGTAAAAGAAAATAAGCACACTAGAAAATCTGCTTTTAAAAAAATCTCAGTAGGAAAATTTTTTAAAGTTTTGAAAGTTCTTTAGAAGATTTAGATTTTTAAAAGTATTACTGAAATGCAAATGTCTTATTACCTACTTTACAGTGGCTTTGACACTGGTCAAACAGTGGTAATATCCTTCCCCTACTGAACAGGAAGGATTGCTTTAAGGATTGCTTTTGACTTTGAAAATTAGAATGAATCCAGAATCTATTAGTATTTATGCCTCTAATTCTCACTGGAACTAACAGATGCAAGTATCTTTCGGGGTCTAAGAATTTTCAGTAGTCTAACAGAACCAGAAGTCAGAAAATATAATCCATTTCCTCTGCAGCCCGTTTCTGCAAACTAAGAAAGTGTTCCCTTTTCTCGTTTAGTACACTCAGGCAGCACCAACTTAACTCCTCTGGCACAGCAATTTTTATGACTATGAATGTCCATAAACATTCAGACATGAGAAATACTGTGTATGTATAAACAAATCAGCAACAAAACCTTTCATTTGGGCACATCAAAGGTAACGAAGTTATTTGTCCAGCAAAGTAAAAAAAAAAAAACACCACACCACAGACGAAAGGAGAATCTTGGATTAACGAGTATAAAGGCCCAGGATCCAAAATTTGCACAAGGAACACATTCTTGTTACAAATAAAATAGTCTTCTTGCATTTTCAGCCTGAATCAATTAATGATTGTTTTCAAGGTTGATCATGAGTTAAAAGAGACTGACAACCTGGGCTCTGAAGGACCCATCATTCTTGCCACGAGCACAGCAAATACGGAATCATCTGGCAAAATACTCTGCAAGCTCTGACTTCAGTCTCATATCAGGGTTTGCAAAACACTAAAACAATCATTTCAAAGTCTGGGAAATTGCAGGACATGTGACATAAAAAAAAAATCTTCTCCGTTTCTAGAAAGGGTCATGACTTATCTTGACATACTAAAATATCAATAAAATAATACACAAGGACAAAAAGGTAAAGCCAGTAATGACAATTATTTTGATACCTTCCAGTAACCTGGATTTTTGTGCAGTTGTAAAAGCTAGAGAGACTAATGGTTTAGGAGGAAGAGACTGCAGAAACATCAATATTCAAAGACTGAAAAAAATTAAGAATACATAAATACAAGCCTCTTCCACGTTTGGCCAACTCTTGAATCACTAAAATATCTGCAGACCTATGCCAACGGCTTCAGGACTAGTGCTTACTTTTACATCAAGTTCTATACTGCAGAAGATTTCAAACAGCATCTTCCTTTGGCATTTGTTTATTTTTTCCTATTTGATCCTCAGATCTGTTATAACCTGTAATAATGAAAAATCTCTTACATTTTTTGACTCTCTCAGTTTCTTATCCGCACCTCTTTCTCTCTGAATATTTGCTTCTTAGTTTAAGTGCTCTCTCTCTTCTGTGGTAAATTTATTTACTGGTATGCCCCTGACTTCTCTGTTATTACCAGATTTGTAACCACTTAATATTCTTTCTATATGCCACAGGCCAAAACATCTAATTTTACCAGCAAGGTTAATGCTGTGAGCCAAATTATCTTCTTTTCATATCAATTATGACTATTTTGTTGTACAGTTGTACATTTTCAATTACATAATTTTGTGTTATACCATATTTTACCCAGACTGTTTATTATCCCGCTTACCTGTCACTCTTACTACTCTTTAAGCTTCCACAGTGCTGCCTGATATTGCTACACAGTGACATTCCTCAGTATTTTCTGTTTGTTCCTGACCAGCTGCTGTACAGCACATGTCATCCCATTCTCTTTGCCTTCCCTATCTTATCTCCATCTTTACCCATATCTCAGGCATTTTGTAAGGAAGCATCTGCATCTCAGTCTTAGTACCTGGGAGAATGAAACGGTTCCCAGCACTAGATCTACAAAGTTTCTCCCCAGAAATCAAAACAATTCCATTAAGTGAAATCATAAACATTCTTTACATCATTGCTTAATCCCTGTGAATAGCACAAACCACATTTCTGGTGCTTTGACAAGCTCCACAAAACTGACAAGGCCTTTTGTAGTGTTGTACAGCTGGCCATCACCTTTCCCTGCCTCTCTCTACCACTTTCATAAAAACCAAGCTAGTATTTTCCAGTCAGTTGCAACCATATTCCAGGATTCACCATGAGATGCACATAATTCCAACATGCAGCTACACTGTCCAGAAACCTCTGTGCTCTCCTCTCAGGTACCTGTCTATCCCTAATTACATCCATTATAATCTCTTTTCACTAAGAACTGTATCTCATTCCAACAGTATCACCACGTGATTCCAGCAGGGTCCTGTACACAGCAAGTTCTTTAATCCTGTGCTTATCTTAAAACTTGAAGGTTTCTCTGCAAAATTTCCAGCAGTAATATGTATAAAACCAGTATGTGTACTAATGAATTCTTAAGAATATCTTCCACTTCTTACAGTTTATATGTTCTGTCTTCAGCTCCTGTATTATAGCAATGGCCAGTGTCATCACCTGCCAAATTCTGTGATGCCTTGTTCCAACACAACTTTCCCCAGTGGCATCTGCTCCTCCCCACCTCTGTCACCTCTTCTTTTTTTCCCCTCATTCTGCATGCTTTGCTACTTCCCTGTTGATTTCACTCTTCACAGCGTCCCTTGTTACCAATCATTCTCTCTTCCTTTTTATTGGAATGGCTTTAAAAACAGAAATGAGGATATTACAAACTTACCGTATGGTAAACAATCTTCTCTTTTGCCATGTTTAAATAACTGTGCCTACAATTAAAGCAGGGAAAACAGACATGAGAATATAGAGATTCTAAAGCACAATCTCTAAAGCATGTAGTTCTAAAATACTTTTTAATAATTGCAATAATCTGTAGTGTTTACTAATTTAAATAGCATAAAAGGAAAATAGTCTCAGGGTGCAGTTTTACTTCTTTGTAAGTCAATGCGAGTCAAGGAAACTGTAGCCCAGCCCTGGCCTCCCACCCATACAATCATGCAGGCAACCAGCTCAGAGAGCTGAGTTGGTCAAAAAACATTCAAGAGAGAATGAAAAGAAGGAAAAAAAAATAAGAGAGAGAGAGGAAAAAAAAGCCACTAGTTTTCAGCCAGCTCAGGTCTGTGAACCATCCAGCTCAGTGCCTGGTCATTCCAGTCCAATGCAAGTGCCACCACAGCACCCATTATCGCCAACAGCTCGTCTTGCTTTAAACCTCTGAAGCGTGAAGCTGAATTTGCAGAACATGAATAAAGGCAGAAGAACTAGTGGAACTCAATATCCTGTCTGGGATTCCCTAACACTGAATGTCTCCAAACGGGACAAGCCTCCCTCGTGATTAGATGCCCCAGCACACACCAACACTTTGGTCACTGCTCAGCAGCGGGACAGGTGGGTACCTGTGCGGGAGCTTGGTTATTGGTACCAACGACACAGCCAGATGCAGTACAGGCTGAACTGCTGAGTGCTGCACCCTGTTTCTCCAGTGGCTTTTGAGAACTTCAGGTTAAACTAAATGAAACCACCCACAGAAATCTCTGACTGCCAGCTTGCTACAAATATACCACCAACAGGCCAATTTTTCCTGTGCTGAGGGATTTAAAGAAGCAAAGAGCTTCCAAAATAATTTTATATAGAATTAAATATCCCGGTAAGATTAAGCCCGGGCAGTACAGTGAGGCAAATGGACTGTAAACACCTGACAAAAACATGTTACACACTGAAAGTCTCCTCAGTTCACTCAGTACGCATCAAAACCACTGTGTTCAGTCACTTATTCTCCCTTGCTTTGTCATTCACCAGAAGAAAAATCTTTCTCAATAAATATGCCTAGGAGTTAAACAAGAACAGACTTACCTTAAAAATATGTACTTTCTCACACATACCAAACACACACATGCCTCCCGTACTGCAGGTGTGGTTAAGAGCAACAAAGGCAATAAAAACACCTCCAGGCTATGTACCCATTCTATTTTGTTTTGTTACTAAATTGCATTTTAGGATCCTAAATTAGCACTTCTGATCGGCTTTACTACAAGCTATATAGGGAAATTTGATAATATATTGAATTATTTAAGATTTTTAATGCTTTTGCAAGCAACTTGGCAATCCTAAGGCATCCTTTAGAAACTACGTTTACAAAGCAGGATTGCTGCAGAAGTACTTCAGGCCCAGAAGAACAGCTAACAGAAATAACTACCGACACAGATGGGATAAATATAGCATAGCTTTCACCAATATACCGTATCAGTACCCCACACACACACGTTTCCCACTAACATACAACAAAGCTCTGCTTGTATTAAAAAGCCTAAAGAAAAGATGAGCGAAGACCTTCAAATCTTTCCTATAATTAACAAATTTAGAGTGCCTCTAAAATTTTTCTATCTCTTTGCTCATTTCTTCATCACTTTGTTCCAGTGTTCTGCTTTGAAAACCTATCAGCTGGTTTCTTCACGAGGTCAGCCCACTGGGAGGGGATGCGAGGAGACACTGCAGCATTTCTCGTCACAGTAACTTCTCCTTCCTGTACAAAAGCCCCCTTAAGAGCAAATCTTGGGTTTAAGGCACACACAGGTCACCTCCAAATTATCAGGATTATACTGAAGAGTATTCAATCAAAACACAGTCTAATTCCTGAAGCAGTGATAATGTAGAAAACCAGCTTTTTAACATAGCCTTGGGAATGCTGGACAAATGCATTTGGATGTCTACGCTCACACTGCGCAGCTTTCTAGGAGCTCCTGCAAAGATGGAACAGAATCCTCAAAACACCTATGCATTTTCAGTCTTACATAGTTCCTAAATTCTGGCACCTTTCTACAAGTTTCTCTGCGAATTTTCACATCCTTAAGGCCAACTCTGATTCAGCTCTGACTCCTCAGGAGAACCATAACTAGAAGGTACCACCCCTAACGAGATGTGGGAAGAAATTAACCCACACACAAGCAGGAACTGAGAAAACTCTTCAAATACTGTACAGGACATTTTTTAATGCTTTTCTAAGAGAAGTGAGAAAGCAGCCTCACACACCTATGAATCAATTTAGAACAGTGAACTTGGCAGATTCCATTTCACAACCATTTCTATTATTTTCTGAACGAAGAAAGTAAACGTACCTTGTTTCCC